GTCCGTACTTAAGAACCACGCATGCCTCAAAGCTGAATTTGAAATACTTAAGTTGTACTTGTACAGGGGACACTCCCTCAAAATTTCAGCTTCCCGGCTTTTCTGGTCACCGAGTTAGCAGTTTTCCCGCTAAAACCTTCACATACCAGTACCTGGGCACTCCACGTGCTTGGCAAGCTGAATTTGAAATTTTTAAGTTGCACGTGGGCAGGGAATATCCGCCTAAAATTGCAGCCTTCCAGTTCTTCTGATTGCCGAGTTAGTAATTCTCCTGCAAAAACTTTCATGCGCCCTTACGTGAGTACATTGCATAGCTTGGGGCTGATTTTGAAATATTTGAGTTGTACTTGATGGGGAACATTCCCCCAAAATTGCAGCCTTCTAGCTTTTCTGGTACCCGAGATAGCAATTTTCCTCCTAAAACTTTCGCACACCTTTACGTGAATGTCACGCATAGCTTGGGGCTGAATTTGAAATCTTTAGCTAGTAGATGCGCAGGGAATATCCCTACGAAGAAAGTTTCAGCCCCTTAGCTCATGTGGTTCTCGAGATCTCTTTCCCGCCAAAAAATTCGCATATTTTTTTGAGGCTTCCGTACGCAGCATCCAGGCTTTCAAGGGGGATGAAATTAAAACGGGAGGGTCGCGCATGGTATGGGCACATATCCCCATAGTTTCAGCCTTCTAGCTTTTCTGGGTCTCGAGTTGAAAGTGAGTGACAAAAAGTGCGAACACACGGACATACACACACACACACACACACACACACAGCCTCTTCCCAATATGATTTTTGCAATTTACATATATGCAAAAACGCATAAAAAGCGTCCCAAGGGTTGTGCACCACAGTATACCACATCGCGCCGTACTCACAGAGTGCCGCTTTCTAATTGTATTGTATATTGCAACTCAATATCACTGCTTCGAAAAGATGATTGTCCAGGGTGCAGGAGGGGGAGGGGAGGAAGCGGATGTATCACCGCCTTCAACGTCGATACATCTCATTTCGATACAAGTTGAAGCTTGGAAGTCGAAGTTGTCTCGGTCAATGTGCGGGGTAGCGATGGGCCGCTAATTCTTCGATTCGCACAAATGGTCAAACCCCGCTCTCAGCTGAATGGTGACATAATGTGGAACCCCCTTCTTTCTTCCCTATTCCCCCTCTATGAGGGACGGTACTTCAAAGTTTGATGCAAAAACGCACGATCGCACCGGATTTGCATGAACTCCAATCATTTTTCCGGTAAAAGCTCGCCTTGCGAAAAAATGACAAATGCAAATTTTTTTAAAAAGTGCAAATTTCCAGTTCATAAAAAATTGAAAGTGTTGCTCGAACTGTTTTGTCAAAAATCCACGTTCATTTACACATACGATTGCGGCTTAGTTCTTAGTTGCGAACGATTTTTATGCGTTTTTGCCAATATGCAAATTG